AAAAAAGGACAAAAGAAGAAGTAAGAAATGAAGCGTCTCGTTCGTAATGACGTTTGTAAATATATAGACAATAAATTTTTTCTTCCTTGAATGTTTCGTCTCCCAAGTCGAAAAGCTTCCCGTATATTTCCGATATCATCGTCGGTAACGTGGTTTCTCGTGTTCAACATTGTTCCCTGTGAATACTTGGTGTATCGTGCGAGAATTAGCGCGTTTTCACTGCCGAACGCGTTTTACGCTTGGCCAGTCAACCGGTCGAATCTTTTAACGAGCATGTAAACGTTTGTATATATGAGTAATAAACCTCGTTGTTTAATAACTTGGAACCGAGTTTCGTTGCTTCTTCGAGGTTCTGCAAAAAAAAATATGCTGCAAGATCGAGACGATGGAACGTCGGTAAGTAATGTTCATAAATTACATTAAAATTTCTCACTTCTCGTAGATTTTCAATAATTATTGACGTTGTTTAGTTTGTCCGATGTTTTGAAACTTTCTTAACAATATTAATCCATTAAGGGCCGAGCGATGTGTTATAAATTAATGTTCCATTTAATTTTGTAAAATTACAAAGTTTAGACGGAGGAGATGATGACGAACAAAAAAAAAAATATTCAGAGTTCCAATATTGAATCTCATCGTACAAAGAATAGATTTTAAAAGTCAGAAATAAGAAAAATAGATTTTTTCTAGAATCGACAGAGGTATGAGTAAATAGTTGCGTCAATATAATTAGTTGTACGTCTTTAATGGATTGATCTTCGTTCAGTTGGGTCATTTTAAGACATATACTACTAGCCAGAAGCTTGAGTACGCGTTCTCGTGTACAAGTATTTTAATAATATAGAAAATGAATATACAGAATAACCAAAAAATATTTACAAATTAACGTCTAACGAAATACTATAAAATCAAGCATGAGTATAATAAATTAAGTTTATGATAAATTAATGTTTACAGTTTGTAAATGAAGTACAAACTGTAGACCGATACTGTGCGATTATAAAAACATAAAATTAGATAGACATCCGTAGCCTATTTATAATAATTTAAATCTCTAATGATTTAAAATAAATCTTTAATAAATAATTGTTGACAATTTCGTTGTTTCTATTTATATTTTCGCGTGACTGACAGATCTAGGTTGTCTGCTTCGTTAAGTTCAAGTCCAATATTCGTTGAAATCTGATGTTCGATAATCTAACAATTGACACACTTCAAGCTTTAAATATTATTTAACATTCCCTCATTCTACACGTTTATAAAATCCTTCAAGCAAGACTTCATGTCGCAATATAAAAAAATTTCGGCACCAAATTTTAATCGTCTGATGAAATTAATTCGTAGAACTTCTTGAACTGAAATCTGTTTGAAAAATGAGGGGAAAAGGAGGAAGCGATACGTTTCGAATAGCGTGCACCAGTATCGAAAGCCCTCGACGCGAAAGACGTCGAATCGCAACGAATACGGCTTTACATAAATTCCCGAATTGCAATTCCAGCTCGACAGGAGACTGTTTCTCTTCCATTAACTCTTCGACGTTTGGGATATTGTTGACTGATTCCGGACGCGTAGGCAGCGATTTGCTGGACCGGCAGATATTTCAGTAAGCCGCTTATCCCGCGCCGCGGATCTAGAGATCTCTGGCAGCGGCTCGTTTAACGTGTACCGTCGCGTACACGTGCGATCCACGCGGCACAGATTTCAGTCTACACGCGGCCTGACATTGCCAACAGGGATCCAGATGATGATGGCCAACGATAAATCACGTCGTTAGGTTCAACGTTCATCCCGGTGAATCTCGTTTCACGCTACCTGGAAATAAACTGTCGGACGATATGTTCCTTCCCCGCCGAGATCTCACAGAGTTGATTGTACTCAGCGACTTATCGTTACAGAATGAAAGTCGCGAAGAAAATCCTTGCGAAAATTTCGGGAATTTTTCGTTCATTATAATTGTGAATGTTTCTATATTTCATTGGTCCTAGGATTTTATGGATTGCATGCACTTTGCGTGTAGAAATAAAAATTAGAGAGTATTGTATTATATAGGGAGAATTTCTTTAAAATTTTACAGTGTATTAATAGTATTCAATACATTCTCAAAAATTTCGTGAACAATGTATTACATTTCGCGAGAATTTTCAAATATAATTTTGGAGTCGTGAGCATTCCTCATACGTCGCAAATCTTGAAGTTTTATATATAATACTGTAATAACGTTAATATAATAACAGTTCAATATACTATATATATGAAAAATTGCGACGAATACATTTCACGAGAATTTTCGAATTTCCTTAACACTCTTTTCAAACAGAATTTTGTAGATTTTGATTCACGGATGCTTTTTCATTTCTTGGCTCATGAATACGTTTCAAATTTTAAATTTTATAGATTAAATTTTACACATAATCACACGTAAGAATAAAAATCGCGAGAATGACATTATATTTCAGAAGAAGTATTTTGCAAATTTTAATTCGCGAATAATACTTTGTATAAATCTTGGGTATTGATTTTGATTTGACTTCAGAAGCACGTATTGAAATCGATTCGATTATCGTATATTATAAGTAAGTTTTACAGAATAGAATATTATATTACATTTATATCTGACAAGTTCGTTAGTTGACTCGTAATTTCATTATTAACTGAAATTGCAACGAGAGCTGCATTATAGATTCATTCACTTTTGCAATTAAAAGTTTCGTTAACTGTTCAAGTGCCTTAAGAGAATACATGAGACTAATTAATTTTTATACTATGGTTAAATGCAGAATTCGCGCGATTCGTGTTTTCCGCCTGTTCGTGAAAAAAAAAAAAAGGAAGAACTTCTTCTTTTCCTTCTCTCGTTTTATTTCGTTGGCGATTCTCTTACATAAACTGCAGAAATAATTACCCGGCGTTTCTTTCCCTCGTTTCGTTTCTTTCAACTTATTAATTCGCTGTCATACGGACACGGTGTTGGGAATTTTTGCAGCGTAACTGCAC